TCCTTAACAGCATGACCACAATTGGAAGTTTAAATTTCTTTATGTGGTTATTCACTCCATATTTTTGTATCTAGACGATAGACTTCATGAGAGCAAGAACTGTATCTGTTTTGCTCCCACTGTGTCTCCTATAGTGAACCTGTGGTGCAACTGGTCAACATGCTTGGCCAATAACTGTAAGGTTGGAGGTTAGAGTCCACCCAGAGGCACTTCATAAAAAGGCCTGATGATCTACTTTCAAAAACTCAGCCACTGAAAACCATGTGGACCACAGTTCCACTCTGTCATACACAGGGTCACCATGAGTTGGAACTGACTTGCTGGTAACTGGTACCGGTGCCTTGGAGGCCAACACAGTGTGGCTATCTAACCCAGGCAGGTACGCCCTGGAAGGGCTCCCAAGGCTCCCCTGCTTTCTCTTCCACTGCTGTCTAGTCCCGTGGTTGGCAAAACATGGCCTATGGACCAATTCTGGTTCACTGCCTCTTTTTGTATGGCTCATGAGGTCAAAATTACTTTTATGTTAGAAAAGGAATCAAAAGGAAAAGAATGTATTGTGACATGGGAAAATGATAACAGATTCAAATTACAGTGTCCATAAATAAAGTTTTATTGGATCACAGCCACTCTTTATGCATTATCTATGGCTGCTTCTGAGCTACAATGGCAGAGTTGTTGTGACAGAGACCACATGGCCTGACAAAATGAAGCTATTTACTATCAGGCCCTTTACAGAAAAAGTTTGCCAGGCCCTGATCTAATCCGTGCTTAGTTCCAAAGATCACTTCTATGTGAATTATGTCCAACTGTACATCTTTGAGCTTTTTCTTTCCTATTTTCACATGCACTGTCAGAAATCAGACCCCATTAGTTCTATCCTTGCAACAATATCCCTGTCCTGCCTTCTCCTTCCCCATCCCTTTAGTGCATCCTTTTTACTGTAGCCAAAGATAACTTCCAGGACAACAGCTTCAACACTACAACTATTCTTTCAGGTTTCCCAGTGTAGAACTAAATAAAACTGCCCTGTTTGGTATGGTATTCAAGGTTTATCAATTCCTACTACTCCTTATCAATCACTCAACCATCCAGCCACATCAATCACTTAACCCACCCTTGCCTTCTCTACTTCTAGGCCCAGGATCACAGTTACCATCTCAGTATGGACTGTCCAAGGAGCCCTGGTGGCACCGTGGTCAAGCAATCTGCTGCCAACAGAAAAGTTGGCAGTTTGAATCAACCCAGTGGCTACTTTGAACCCATCTAGTGGCCCCACAGGAGAAGCACCTAGTGATCTGCCCCTGTAAAGATTTGTTATTCTGTTGTCGTTAGGTGCCACCAAGTCAGTGCAAACTTACAGGGACTCCACGTAGAACAGGATGAAACACTGCGGGGCCCTGTGCTATCCTCATAATCATTGACGTGTCTGAGCCACTTGTTGCAGCCACTTTGTCAATCTGTCTCATCAAGGGTCTTCTTTTTCACTGACCTACTTCACCAAGTATGACATCCTTCTTCAGAGACTAGTCACTCCTGATACTTCTTCGAAGACAGATTTGCTCATTCTTCTGTAAGTCCATGATATATTTCATGAAGATTAATTAAGTAGAGATTAAGTAAAGATTACAGCCTTGAAAACCCTGTGGGGCAGTTTTACTCTGTCTTACAGGGTCACTGTGAAGAAGTACAGCCAGAGCGCTCCTTAGAAGCAAGGATAGTGGGACTCATCTCATGTGCTTTGGACATATTTTCAGGAGAGACCCATCCCTGTGAAGGATATCATGCTTGTAAAATAGAGAGTCAGGAAAAAAGAGGAAGAGGCTGCTAAAAATAGTCACTATGAGTTGAAATTGATTTGACAATACTTAACCACACCACCAGAAAGATGTTTGCCTGTGTGCAAAGGCATTTGACTTTGTGGACCATAACAAATTATGAATAACACTGAGAAGAATGGGAATTCCAGAACACTTAATAGTGCTCTTGAGGAACTTGTACATAGACAAAGAGGCTGTCCTTCGAACAGAACAAGGGAATACTACTAGGTTTGAAATTAGGAAGGGTGTGATTGTATCCTTTCACCACACTTATTCAATCTATATACTGAATATGTAATTCGAGAAGCTGGACTATATGAAGAAGAACGTTGCATCAGGACTGGAAGAAGACTCATTAACAACCTGTGATATGCAGATGGCACAATCTTGCTTGCTGACAGTGAAGATGACTTGAAGCACTTACGATGAAGATCAAAGACTACAGTCTTCGGTATGGATTATACTTCAATTTAAAGAAAACAGAAATCCTCACAACTGGACCAACACACCACATCATGACAAATGGAGAAACGATTGAAGTTGTCAGGGATTTCATTCTGTTTGGATCCACAATCAACGCCCATGGAAACAGTAATCAAGAAATCACACATCATCTACTCACTGGGCAAATGTGCTGCAAAAGACATTTTTAAAGTGTTAAGGAACAAAGATGTCACTTTGAAGACTAAGGTGCACCTTAACCCAAACCATGGTATTTTCAATTACTTCATATGCATGTGAAAGCTGGACAATGAATAAGGAAGACTGAAGAAGAGTTGATGCCTTTGAACTGTGGTGTTGGTGAAGAATATCGAACATACCAGGGACTGCCAGAAAAACGAGTAAATCTGTCCTCGAAGTCCAGTGGAATGCTCTTTAGAGGAGAGAATGGCCAGATACTTTGATCATGTTGTCAGCAGGGAACAGTCCCTGGAGAAGGACATCATGCTTGGCAAAGGGAGGGTCGGAGCAAAAGGGGAAGGCCCTCAACGAGATGGATTGACTCAGTAGCTGCAGACATGGGCTTAAGCATAGCTAGGATTGTGAGGCAGGTGCAGGACCAAGCAGTCTTCCGTTCTGTTGTCCACCACAAGTCGCTTATGTTGTACGCAGAGGGTCACTATGAGTCGCAGTCGACTGAAGGGCACCTAACAACAGGAAATTCTGCTGCTAGTATATATTTCTATCTTAAAACCAAAACCAAACCAAACCAACCAAACAAACAAAAAACCCCTTTGCCACGGAGTTAATTCCGACTCACGAAGATCCTATAGGCCAGACTAGAACAGCCCCACAGGGGTTTCAAGGCTGTAAATCTTTGCAGAAGCAGACTGCCATAACTTTCTCCATCAGAGCTGGGGGTAGGGGTGTCTGTGTGGCTGCTGTGGGCTGAAACCTCGGACCTTTCTGGTACCAAGCGCTTTTAACCATTACCACCAGGGTCGGTTATCTCATTTGCCTCTGCCCTAAAAGCTTCCCTCAGGTCTTCTACCGGGGTTAATTGCTACCAACTGTGTGTTTCTCTAACGCTTTGTGTGGCCACTTTATTTTAAATCCTGCCTTGTATTATAGTTTATAAGGCGCTCTGGTGGCGTAGTGCCTAAGGCATTTGACTGCTAACCAGAAGGTTGGCAGTTCAAACCCGCCAGCCACTCCGTGGAAGGAAGACTGGCCAATGTACTTCCCTAAAGATGAATTAGGAGCTCTGGTAGCATAGTGCCTAAGGCACCTGACTGCTAGCCAGAAGGCTGGCGATTCAAACCCACCAGCCACTCCCTGGAAGGCAGGTTGGGCAATCTACTTCCCTAGTGATATCCCCTCGCAAACCCAAGGAGGGGCACTATGAGTCGGGTTCGACTCCACGGCACAGAATAACAACAAAGATGTACTGCCTGGGAAACCCAAAGGGGGTCACTATGAGTCGGAATCCACTGGATGGCAGTGAGTTTTTTAAAAATACTGTCTTGTGTAGATACACAAGTTGTTTCTCCCGCTCTATTGAAAAGTGCTTGTTGTTGTTATATGCTGTCCAGTCGAACCCGACTCATAGCGACCCTTCCTTAGGTTTCCGAGACAGTATCACTACGAAAGGGAATATATTCTGTTTTATTAACCTCAGCATCCTTCTAGCACCTTGGAGGTACTTGTACAAAATGGATGCCTAAGGCACTTGACAGCTAACCAGAAGGCTGGCGGTTCAAACCCACCAGCCACTCCTCAGAAGGAAGGTTGGGCAATTCTATTTCCATAGTGATACTGCCTCGGAAACCCAAGGAGGGGTCTCTATGAGTCGGGGCCGACTGGACGGCAAATAACAACATCCTTTGCAAAATTTCTCATCGGGTGCTGGGATTGTGACGGTATTTAGCACAAACTCCACTTGCTTAATGCCCACCAGAGGTGGGTCACATCTTTTTAGGGCACGCAGTCTTCCAGCTGGTCACACACCTGTGGATCGCTGTCTGGGACCCTCTGCTACATCTGCAAACACGCGGGTGAGAGCGTCTCTCCGGCCCCTGCTCCTTCCGTGGTGATTGGCGGACCAATTGTTCCAATCAGCCCTCCCCGCCTCTTTCAGCAATAGCCAATCACAGACTCCGAGCGCCTCCTGACTACTAGATATTGTTTACTAACAGATCGAAGCTGGGGAATAAGAGGTGTGACCATTCTGGGGAGGTCAGGGAAGGGAAGACTGCGCGTGCGTACCAGAGGAAATGGGCGGGGCAGAATCTCGGCTTTCACCAATCGGAATGGTCGCGCTCCTCCTTCTCTTGCCTCCCCGCCAAGCAACAATTCGAGGAGGGGGGCGGGGCGGCCCGTGAAACCTCACAGCGGGCTGCCCAATGGGAGCCGGCGTTGGCAGATACGCGGGTCCTCGGTCCAATGAGCTTTAGCAGCCCGAATGGCTGCTTGGATTGGGGCTGTGGGCGGAGCGGCCTGAGGGAGGAGGCGGTGGAGCAGGGGGCGGTTTGGTTGCGCGGTACTAGCGGGCCCGCGGGAGGGGGAGGAGGCGAAGGAGCGAGCAGTGCTGCCAGAGCGGGAAAGCGACTCGTCTCTGCGTCCGAGTTCGGGAACAGCAGCACCCGGGGTGCTAGAGCTGCAGCAGGCGCTGTGAGGAGCCGGGTGTCGGCTGGCTCCCAGGTTTTCCTCGTAGCGGCCCCACGGGATCGGAAAAGGGAGAAGATGGAGGAGGAGGGAAGCAGCGGCGGTGGCGCGGCGGGGACCAGCGGGGACGGCGGCGGCGGGGAGCAGCTCCTCACCGTGAAGCACGAGCTGCGGACCGGTGAGCGGCCCCGCCCTCTGCTGGCCCGCCTGGAACGG